GGGTTCAGACTCTCCAGTAATTTGACTCTGTACAATCAGACAGAGATTCGGAGGTCGCGCCTGTTAATAACAACATTTGACTTTCAGTGTTGAAAGTTGCGTTAAACCTATACCATGATCAATCGATAGATAGACAAACAATGACGAACAAAGAATTGTGTATAAGTGTGTGTTTGTGAGTTTGTTTATTTGTGGTTTACGTGTTTGCGGTAGGTAATAGATGGATAGCTCTGTGCTGTGTAATTTCAAAGCCTCCTTCCCCTTTTTTGAAAGATTTTCCGGCTTATTAATATACTGTATATTACCTTTGTATTTTCAGTAGCAAGCTTAATCCTGTGTACGTTGTCTGTCTCCACGTAATTATTCTGTTATCCAGAAGCAGTGGTGTAAGAAAAAAAACGGGAGGGGATCGGCAACTATTTCGAACTTCATCAATGTTCTTTTTTAATCTCTGTCGTGCTGGTTGTTGAAATGAAAGTGAAATACATTACTTTTTCCATATATCATGCCTACATTATGCCTTGTTTGGACAGAACAGATTTTTAAAAATGACAAGGTTCGTACAAGTGTAGGCCAGCCATTTCGTCTTGGAATACAAGGCAGATGAGCTCCACAGCCGTCTCAGGCCCACTTTCCTGGCAATAATTTATTCTGTCAATTCATCCGTTGCTAGATAAAATATTCAAATAAAATGGTATGGGTTTAACGCCCCTATCAACACTATTAGGTTATTTAAGGGGCGGGACCTCCTAGTTTAACGTCCGTCTCCGATAGGACCGAGCCAAGTGGGAAGTTCGTGTAAAGTGCTTTCCCAAGGACACAACGTCGGACCGAGATGAGGCTCGAACCCCCGAACCCGCAATCTCACGATTACGAGTCCAGTAGCCTAACCGCTAGGCTACCGACGCCACTGATAAAATATTCTTTGGAAAAGAAAAAGATCAGATGTACTTTTCTGTTGTAAAAGACATCTTTGCTCAGTCTCTTTCCTCCTTTTGCACAACTTGAAATTCGATGTGCCCATAAATAATCAAGATTATAATGTGTTTACACACACACACACACACACACACACACACACACACACACACACACACACACGTGTTCGTGTACGTACATTCATGCTCACATAAAACACACATTCATTTAGCTGTAAACCCCTGGTTTGCAGTTACTGAGCTTACCGTTTTTTTAAATTTTCTTTTACATTTTGATATCAATTGTTGCTATTATTGTAGTGTATTTTAATGTTTTACTGTACCTTAGAATCACAATGAATAAGAATATTATGTAGTCAGTAATCATCCATCAAGATAAATAAATAAACAAATAAATTCAATAAATAGATAGATAAATAGATATACTTAAATAGATTTTAAAAATAATATCAGGAAACGATATTATTAATATTAAAAAATATTATATAAAATAAAATAGAAGCTACAGAAATGTGGTTTATTAGGAGACTTCTAAGAGGATTGTGGAAGGAAAAGAAATCAAATGAGGTAGTGCTTGATGAAGCCCACGTGGGGCGCTCAATGTTAAAAAGAATCAGGAAACGACAAATGCAGCTTTTGGGACACCTGAATAGACGTAAGGGTCTTGAACATCTAGCTCTCACGGACAAAATTGAGGGCTAGCGAGGCAGGGGTAGGCCCAGAACAACATACTTAGGGAACCTAAACAAATGGGTAACAGGGAAAGATCAGAGAAACGTAGCTTTTTTTTAGAGCATCCGAGCAAAGGAATGAATGGAGAACCATGATCGCCGATGTCTGTTCGCAGATTTGGCGCTGGATGATGATGATGATGATGGTGATGATGATGTATAAAACCAAACAAACAAAGGCACTGGAACTTCACTGTTTACCCATATAACACAAACCTTGAGCCTCTTATACTTCAGCGAGCCACCTGTAGTAAAACAACACCATTTTGTCACAAATTATTTTCAGCGTCACAGACATCTCTATAATGCTGCTCCTATTTGAAGGATACACACACCAAACTGAGTAGAAACCTACGATCCGTGCTATCAACGTACAGTTTGATTTATATATATATATATATATATATATATATATATATATATATATATAATATAATATAATATAATATAGATATTTTATTATAGATGTGCTGAAGTTTTGCTTGTAGATTTTTTTAACGATTGTAAACAATCAAGCGTTGCAGTGTGCCACCTGAATCTGCTCGCCGTTATATTATGTCTGTAGTAGATGTGCGCTATTCATTTTGGTTTATAATATAAAAGATAATAATATTCTTTTGTCGTTTATCAAACTTTCAGATGATGGCGTCGGAGTTTCCCCAGGAGAAGGAAACGTTAAAGGTCATTCAGGTAGGAAAGGTTTACGCTATTATTTAGTTTGCGGCCGTTATATATATGTCCTGTGTATATTTCAGTTCTTAAGTTCAGGCCCAAAGCCCCAAAGGGGGGGGGGGGATATCTTAGTAACAAATTATGCCATTTTCCCCTCTCTTCATAGTAAATATTTTGTACCTATATGTTCTACTGAAAGTGGGGCAAAGGCGACAAATGTTATTAAGGTAGATAGCCGAGGAGCCCCGTATTTCTATCAGTTTTAGTTCAGTTTTACGGGGCTCGCAACTTTTCAATTAGTTTGACAATTAATTAGAACCTCTGAAGTTTGCTGTCTTTTCATTATATAGGCCTATGTGATAATAATTTAATATAATTTTTATTATTTTTTAAATATGGAAAAGCCACGTCTTTAAATCAAAATTGAATTCGGGTGGGGGTGGGGTGGGGGTGTAAAACACCCTCAGTCAACTTGATAATAACGTAGAGGTGTCGTATGACAGCTGTTCCCAAATAAATTTGTTTTTCTGTACCTCAGACAGGCGGTAGAAAAATATGCAAACAAGGATTAATTCATATTGTTATTTAATGTTAAGGCAGTTTTCTCTTGTGCTTTTTTTTTTCCAAGTATGGCGTTCACTGAAACGCTAATTTATGCTAATGACGAAAGTATGGCGAGCACATGCCGTGAGTAAAAGTCATTTGTTATATATATTTCTTTTTTTCTTTCTTCTCTTTTTTTTTTAAAGCGAATCTCCTCCACCCCCCCCCTACCCCCTGTTTTTTTAAATCAGATCCTGGGGGTTTCTTTTTGTTGGGGCTTTTCCCCCGCTTTATCATTGCGTGGTTGCCCATCTTTTTCGGAATATCTTGGTGAATCAGTTTGAATTTTACCAGTTGTATCCCGGACCAAAGAGGTCCCGGACATTCGCGAGGAATGTTGGCGATATCATGTCCTTTCCACCACCTCGATCAAGGAAAGGAAACGGGCAGTCGCCGCCGCTGGCTACAAAGATGTATCATTATAATCATCTTTTCCTTTTCCTTGTTTCTCTCAGGCTTTAAACATTCTTAAAAACTCCATGTGGATGATTAAAGAAAAATACGCAACACTTCAGTTTCACCCTTCCAAACTGTTTTTTGTTTTGTTTTGTTTTGTTTTTTTGTTATATTTCTAAAAGTGTTTTGCGGCGCTCGCAACTGCCTAAGGTCATAAGAGCGTACGGGACACATTTAACATTTTCAGTTGGTAGATAATTTTAAATTGTGTCTACTCTTATCGCTTTTGGACACCAACGGATCTTTAACGTGTGCAACTTGCACCCGGGCCCTCTGAGATTTTAGCCTGGGACCTCCGAAATTTTTCACTCTTGTCCAAGAAGGCTAGGTGTTACTTTCCTTAAGATCAAGGGTGTGGCTGAAAGACAGAGCAGTAAGAAGGAGCCAAGGAGTAGCAGTAGGAAGGCTGCAGAAAGAGTCAGGAGCCAAGAGGAGGGGGCTAAGGAGGTGAAGGGGTGGGGGCAGAAAGTGGAGACGAAAGCAGACAACAGAACATTGTTTGAGAACAGGAAAGGAGGTGAAAGGAGACAATTTTAGAGGAGAAAAATTTCCGCCGCTATCCGGATTCGAACCCGGGACCTATTGACTGAGAGGCGAACGCCTTTCCGAAAAATAAAGGATATGGGGAGGGGGAGGATTAGTGGCCGATTATACAGTTTTTTCCTCTTCATGGTCAGTTTCTCTCTATCTCCTTTCTTTTTTAAACCTGTTATAATTGTCGACAGACGTTTAGGTGTTTTGGCGTTTTACCTGAAAACTGATTTATGTATCCTTTTTATGGGCAATACTTAAAAAAAACCCACAACATTATAAGGCCTAATTATTATAAATCGGCTTTTTATTTGTGTTCAGTCTCGCGTTAGACACGTGTAATAGAACGAGCCATTAAAGACATTAGGTTACAGACTTGCATGCGCACCCCCCCCCCCTTCCCCCCCAACCACCCTCTTAAAAAAAGACCACACATCCATAAAAAACCCACTCTCTCACACAGACACACACACACAGACACACACACACACACACACACACACACACACACACACACACAAACACACACACATACACACACACACACACACACACACACACACACACACACACACACACCACACACACACATACACACAAGAACATAAAAATGATTTTAAAACAAACCCCATTCAACCCAACGCCTACTTCTTTTTACGTGCTATAACACTGCCTTAAAAAAATGTTTTCACTGTTTCAGCGCGTTACATTGTTACATTTAGGACTTTATTCTCCTCCCCATACCGTAAAAAGTGGCTGTCCTATTTGATAGAGATTTTTTCGTCATGAAACGATTTCACGTAACTAACATGAATACATTTCGCTAAGTGGTTGTTATGTTTTCTCTTAACGTTTTGTCTCGTTATGTCTCACACGTGCGTCAGTGTCAGTTGCATGGTTGCCCTCACTGCAATGTAAGTACCGATACATATTCTCTGGGCTTGTTACGAAAATTCCCCGATACGTAGTGTTTTAAGTCATGGCGGGGGTTGGGGGGGGGGGGGTCGGGGATGTAATTACCTAGCGATCTCCCCCCCCCCCTCGCCCGGAATAAAACCTACCACTTTCTTCATGGTCTGTACTCTTTGCACAACAACAACAGCGTGCCGGGGTCCAAAGGGAAAGTTTTCATATCAAGTGCATGTACATTGTATCTCGATCTTTTTGTTGGGACGTTTTGTATCTCACTCAGCCAGGGTTGGCCCAAACGGGCAGCTTTGAAACCCGCCTCTGCCTCTGAAATGATCTAATTTATGTCAATGGAATAGTTTAAAAAATACAAACACTAGCAGCAAATCAGAGACTATCAATGGTTAGAGGAGAATGAACTGCTTTCAGAGGATAGCAAGTTGTTTTGGAAGCCAGGAGTCCTATGTTGTCTGTGCACTGACTTTCCCACTCAGATCAATTTTTAAGGCGTCTGTGCAAAAAATGAACAAAAACAGTAGCCTAAGTAGGTTCCAGGAAACAGAGGTTGTTGCGGAGAAGTTGCGTTCTAGGTTGGTTGGACGATAGGATGACTAATTTAGATTCTATGCCTGTCGACCTTGCTCAAATTTTACTTTTTGTTGTTGTTGGTAATTTGCTCTTTTACATGAATTTAGGACTGAGATAAAGATGGAAGGAATCTGCGAAGTTGTAAAACGAAAAAAGACCAACATGAAATAAAAGAGCTGTCACAACAAAAACAAAGCACACCAATCTGTTTCTTATGGCAAAGATAGCCCATTATATAATGTCTTAAGAGAGGGTTCGATACTAAAACGAAAAGTCCCTCCGAATGAAACAGTTGCTTAAAATTTTGTTTGTTAGATACCTCTAAATTTGATTGGTTAATGGGAGCTTAGCGCTAGGCATTCAAACAGAATACGTTTTTTTTTCTCTTCTCAGAGGAGCGAAATGGCAATGGACTTTCCAGATCTGGTACAGAATTGGAAATGACGCACATCAATGGAGGCAAAGGTGGAGGGTCCTCAGACAGTGATGAAGACAATGGCAAGAAGGAGAAAACAAAAGAGAAAGTCAACATGGTCGGGATGCTGGAAGTGGTATGTCAAGAAACTTTGAAAGAAAAATTACCATTAGTATGCTCTCAGTTATTTGTTTCCTGTTTCCTGTGCAATTCCTTTGCAAGTGTATTTTGCACAATAAATTTGAGATTTGTGTATAAGAGTGTGGAACAACTTGTCTGTGGTATCAGTTTAGCCAGATATAATTTTTTTCCGACACTCTTCCGGAAGTTAAAATGTTTCTTCAATTCCTAGACATTTCCATAACCTTTATCTGCCTGAAGGGAAGGCATAGATCTTCAAAACATGAAGTTTTGAGTCAAAACATCGATTTTCAAGTTTATACATTTTCGAATACTCGAATACCGTACCTTAAGAATTGATAACACTAGATGTTTCCTTGTGAAAATTATTTTGAAAGTCCCTTTAAAGGGCATTTTAATGAGGGTACCCTCCTAAAAAATTGAAGCCTTTTCTTTAAGTTAACCCAAAATTGAAGTCTTTCTTTAAATGGAAATTCAAGAGGTAATAAGCAAGTCTTTGGAATTGAATTAGCTTAGGTGTATAAGATTAATATAAGATTGAGGGCAGTAACAACCTAGAGGCTTTTTTTGTTTAGTGGTATGCTTCATATTATTATGTTCGAAGTACCTTTGAGTGAGTCAAAAATATGAATATTTCGCTTTTTATAAACAGTATCCCAAAAAGATTCTTACAGGTTGCAACCACATATCTGAGTCTAGTATGTGAAAATGTGAATTGTATATAAATAACCAAATTTTACCACACTAAAGTTATGTTTATCAAATGGTCATCATAATACCTTTCAAACTTAAAGTACATTTGCCTACGTAAAAAATGTGCCAAACCCCCAAAGTCGTATCTCATGCCATTAAATGAATGTCAATTCGATGCTTTAGAATGAATTGGAAAAACTATGTGCCAGTCTTCCCTTTTACTCTTTCTATAATGAATGACAGTATGGTACTCCTTAGAAGAATTTGTTTTCTTATGAAAACTAAATAAACACTGTGAATACTGGTACGGTACATGGTTTTTCATGTTTCTTGGAGAGGAAGAGAAGTCTCATCTCTCAGAATGTGTCCTTGCTAAGTTTGAGGTATATTTAATTCTGAGTAACACACAATTTATGGGTGCAGGAGCAAATTCATTGTTCATGATCATAAGGGCTTGATTTTACTCTTGCTGTTTTGCATGTAACAACTTTTGAGTAACTGGTATGTAGGTGTAGTTACTGGATTAGTTAGTAATATGATTTTTTTAAAAATCTCTATACCTTTCAAGATCTCAGAATTGAAAAGAACTCAATAAAATAAATTCAGGTGGAAATGTTCATTTTTGACTAAATAAAATAATATTCGTTTCCCCCTTTGGAGAGCCATTCTTATCTTTTATCTTATTTTGAAGTAAACAGATTAATATACTTACGATAAAAATTAGATAACGCTTGGCTGTCCTTTCTCAAAATTTAATATTTAGTTTGCTTTGCAAGTTATGATACTAATTTAAAAATTGAAAGGTTCAAGCTTGTACTTGCATAAGATATATTGAGATGAAGGCTGATATAAAAATCAAATGTAAAACAATTACACCTGTAGGTGTCATTATCCATAATTCATGTATGTAACAGGTAGGCTTACTAGTTTCCTGACAAAAAAGGGAAACATCTTGAAGGTGTAACGATCAGTAACCCCCAAAATGAATTAATTACTGTTTGACATCAAAATATTATTCTATTCCAGCTGAGGGTAAATTAACTTTAGTATAATTGCAACGTACCTGTTATTACAGAAACAATACTTATACATACCTTTCCCAAAAAGCCTACCTTTATTAACAAAGCCTGCTAATGAGGAAATCATTCTCAAGATTCATAATGTGTTGCATTTACTTTTTATGCATGCTTTTTCAAAACAGATTTTCTGTCTTTCTTTGTAGTTCCGATTTTCAGACTGGAAGGACAGATTGATGATGTTTGTTGGATCAATTTGTGCCATTATCAACGGAGCAGCCCTGCCAGGCATGATTATTATATTTGGAGAAATGATTGATATGTTTGTGGACACTGGAGCACTGATGACTTTTTTGGTTGAAAGGATTCCTGATTTCATGAACAGCACAGGATTGACTGTGCAAGAAGTTTTCAAAGATGTCTCTGTTCTCAATCCGTGAGTACCTCTTTTTTGGATTTCCCTTTGTCTTTGGCCATCTTTCATAGTGCAGGGGTTGAAAGGCATTGATTTAAAATTAGGATTTTAATGTTGTTGAAGGCTTTGGATGTGGCAAGCATTCACAACAGAACTAGATCATAAGCAAAAGGGAAAATTTTAAGTTCACCCTCACAAATTCCATTTGAGTAGCATGACCTATATCATGGGGATTTTAAAAAAAAACTAAACATTTTTTTGGGTAAATATTTTCCTCCACCTAGAAGTTTTGCATTTTAAATTTGTACACAACATTTGGAGTCAAAAGGAATTTGTCTGATATTCATTTTAGATAAATCCACAAAATGTACATAGCGCATTAAAAGAAACCTACCCATTGTCTGCAACGTTGACATTTTTGTAGCATGATGCACTAGTTCGCATCAGGCCTACCACTGAAAGTCCCAACGATTAGGCCGTATTGCAAGCTACAGCAGTCTAACAGGCCAACAGAAGTTTTCAGATAGTTTTTCTTAAATTTCCTTTGCCTGTTGAGATCATGGTTAAGATTGATAAAGAGCAGAGAGCTGTTTGTATTGAACATTTCTTTACCACCAACTCATTTCGTAAGTTTCGCTCAAGGTGTGTAAGTAATGATGAAGTGTCCTTAAGGCCTCATCTTGGTGTCAAGGGTGAAAATGGTCCAACTGTTAGGACCTGTAGAAAATCAGAACTAAAAATTCCCAGACAAAATAACCACTTCAGGTCAAACACCCACTGTTCGCATCCCTTTAAACGTCATAAGGGTGCAGCATTCAGTAGATGAGCTCCATGAGACGTCTGTCTGAAGGCAATGTCTGCAGCTAGGACTTTCCTACTCCTCAGCGGTCTGCATTCTCAAGGTAGATCTTCATCAATGACTGTACTATTTTTCTGTTCGCGAAGCTGACATGGATCAGAGGATAGCAATGTGTTCATGATTCCTCCATCATATTGAAAAGTGTGAACATATCCTCTATGGTGTTTGGTTTGTTGGCAAAGCCCATATTCACCTTTTAGGATAGATGCTGTCTATTTGGGCAACCTCACCCTACCCCCTATTGTCTCTAGAAACAACTCAATACTGTAAGGTGTACATTGTATTGGGTTAGAGTACTCATGGTTGGGTGCATCCTTGGATTTGGCCACCACTGAACATTAAGAATGACATGTTAAAATGTGTCGAGTCCAAAGAAGGACATATAGAGCACTGGTTCTCGGAATTCCAGAATTTTACTAATATTTTTTGAAAACGCTAAAAGAAAAAAGAAATATTGTTTAAATGTTACAGGGATGGAAAGAATGAATTTTAAAAAGAAAAGGAAGGAGAAAAAACAAACCAATCATTTCATGACTCTCCCTACAAGATCTTTTAAATTGGTGCATTTTATGTTTATAGGTGGTTTTTATAAAAGCTGTTTCTGTTTTCGAAAACAAGTTTTCTCTTTGAATTGTGTCAAACAAATTCATATGGGATGAATTATATCTGTTACAAATTACAACTCTGTAGTACAATTTTTGTGTGAGATATTCAGAAAAAAAGTTGTTTAGTTGTTTTTTTTGATCACCCTGTATGCTGCTGTATGATGTGAGTAGTTTTTGTGTGTGCCAAACACTCAGGAATGTTTGTCTGGAGATGTTGATATATAAGAGATGCAGTCCTGAACATCTTTTTTTAACCTCCAAGCTTTGTGCCTATTTTTGAGCTTTTGTTGCCTTGAACTCTTTTTTTTGTTGTTGATTAAAAACTTTGCCAAGAAGATGAATCAAAGACAGTGTTATTGAGCGTTTAAGTTTTGCACTTTAGCTCCATATGATTTTGGGACTAAATGGTAAGGTCTAGTTTAATGCAGTATCTCTTAACAGCAGTTTCTCAGTACCTGTATTTTGGCAATTGGAGGAACTGAAGTTGAGTAAAAGATCCAGCCTTAGCTTTTCTGTCCCCAGGGGTAAATGCACAGAGCTGTCGGTGTTCTATGGAGGAAACATCACATGCGCTGATGTGCCTGTACAAGAAGACATCCTCGAAACAATGACAGACTTTGCCATCTATTATTGCAGTATGTCACTTTGTTGTTATATTATTCTTGTTTTTTTATTTGGACGCAATGCAGTCATAACGAGTCATGACAGTCACAACTTTGACTTGTAGTAGACTATATAACTCACTATTTGCTTTGATGTTTGACATACTGATTCTTCACTATAACAGAAAACATATCCAGTGTGTTTAGGTCAAAGTAGGCACACTGTGTGTTTTTTTACTGGAGTCAAAAGAATTTGTCTTAGGAGGAGTTTATTAAATCAGTAGATGTAATTGAAGTTCTCATACTATTACCACTTCTTACTTTAATCTCCTTCATGATGGCACCAGGCATAGAGACATGAAAGAACAAAGGCTAATTGATTGACGATAATTAAACCAGTATTGTAACTTCACAAAATACATCACAGAAGCTAACATTTGCATTATATTCCTTGCATATTTTCATAATAATATTATCATCGTCCTTTCTTACCCTGTGCTGGAATATAAGCTACCAACAAGAGCGTACATTATATGTGTGTATAGTCAAAATTGTTCAAGAGTGCCACTGATTGTCGATGAGAAAAGTGGTTGTCTTAGACAGGTGGACATCTTGGACAGTAGGCTATAGAAAAATGCAAGGGGGGAGTGGAAATTTGGCATTTGTATAGGTGATTGTCTTGAACAGGTGACATTTGGGCAGGTTTGCCTGTATGTGAGTGTATGTATACAGTGCATTTAAAAAAAATGACAATCTAGAAGTTGTAGATTACTTCATATGCTTAGAGTTTACTACAAACAGCAAAAAGACACTGATTTAAAAAATGTAGAATGTCAGATGAGGTAAAGCTTCCACAACCATTAGCATATGATAAAATGGTTGGTGCAACTAGAATCTTAACTGTAACTGATTTTTAGTACAAGACCAAGATGAAAGTGTACCAAAATATGCTTTCTGAGCACAGTACTTTGCTCAAAGCTTCTAGGCTTCTGTATGAGATACCACAGAAAAGTTCTTGGAATTATAGTAATATGTCAAAACAAAATTACAAACACAAACACAGAAAGTACTGGAAATTTCTGGAATTCCCATAGTATATTATTGCTCACACTACTTATTAACTCGGATAGCTTGTACATTTTTGCTACATGGAAGATGAAAAAATACCAAATAAACTTCTTCTTAGAGAAGGAAAAAAAACTATCTGTTTTTATAAAGATATCTATATGTGAGACTTGCATCTACTACAACAGCAATTTCAGATCTTTGGAACAAGAGCTATAGGCAGAGCTAGGGTGGTTCTTACTACTAATAAAGAACAGACTAAAGATATTAGAGGAAGACTCAACTCAATTGCTTTAACAACTCTAGAGGAGACATGAGACAGAGCAAAAGGATACAAAACAGCAATCCTTTCCTGATGCTCTTTGCAACTGACCTTTTCAGGAAGGCATTGGCTTGGTATGCTTCATGCCCCATCGTCACAGGACATTTAATTTTTGACAGTACAGCGAAAACACTATCATCATGTTGTGACGGAATAGTGTCAGCTAAAATATCTTCACTAGGACAAGAGGAATTTTTTCAATGTTTTCCCCTTCTTTCCAGAGTGTTGAAAACATTTGGAGTCACTCATTTTTCAGGGAATAGCAATGATGCGTTTGTGTGTGTGTGTGCGTTTGTGCGTGCATGTGTGTGTGTATGTGTGTGTGTGTGTGTGTGTGTGTGT